CATACCCCCCGGTTTTTCTAGGTTTTCACTAAAAATGGCCTCAAAATAGGTAAAATGTAAGAAGCTCTTCCTGCGACTGTATTTGACAAATTACTGTGATGGTTTGCATACATATTGGTATGTCCTTAATGAGCATACAATACAAGTTTCAATCAATTGGATTGATGTCTTGTCAATCAACAGGGGTGAATAAATTAGTGTGTTTTTACACCTTTCGATTCACCCAAATATATGGTAACTTTGAGGTCAAATATCTCCCCTTGCCAGAAAGCTACAACACTAATTTGATTGCCCCTTTCTAGTCCATAATTTCATCTCTGAAAATCATTTAAAAAATCTTTGGGCACTGCCATATTTTTGTCTGGAATGCCTTTTGAAATCTATGACTCTGAAAGCTTCTCTCAACTACACTTGTCACACAATTCCAGCTGTAGGCAGTTATTTAGGCAAGTATACCATCATTTTAAAGCTCATTAAACAAGATAATTAATCAAGGAAGCTAAGAAATGTAGGCAACTTTCCAGATTCTCAGTAGAAATTGGAAATTTCATGTTTAAAGAGAGGCATGTAGGTGAAATATTGATAGGAGAATTGTACTGTTTCTCCCTTTTGTCATTTATTTAGGAGATTTGCTAAAAATAGGCAAATATGGCTTTCTTACGGTAAAAAACATTCATTAGTCTTTGATTTGATTGTTTATTATCACAGTTTATAATCAAGAGATTGTAACAGGAGAGGAGATTTTAAAGTCACATGCCGCATGCTTGTTAACATACGAGTTCCTGAGTACAACAACTTCGGCTTTTACATACAGTGGATGACGAGAAACTCTGCTCTCTCGCTTGAAAGGAGATACCAGTAGCTCTATCAAGTTCATAAAAAATTGCATTATTTCTCCAGAAAATAAGACTGGGAAGTGTTGTTGTTGCCACTTACCACATAATGAAATTTCCACACAAAAATGGTATTTATAGCCTGACCTCATGACCTCTCATAATTATCAATCAAGCCCCTTTTCAAGGTAACACCACCAGAATGTTCTCAAAACCTTTTTCATTACAGCTGTCTGGTTTTTGCCAGCAAATTTCATCTGCATCTGCCATTATTTTCCCTGAATGTTGTGGCCTTTCCTGTATGATTGTGCAAGCCAGATGTTACATGGTACTCTTGGGGGTTTCATTGTGCAGTGTCACGCTCAGGTGTCTAGGTCTCGTTTAAAACATTTCTGAATGCTGCAAATGGGCCAGCAACATACGCTTTCGTTGCTTTTTTATCACTATAATTCATCAAATTTTCTTTTTTGTCAGAAAATTTTGTAAATGATAAACTAGACACGTTACATGTATGAGTACGTGATGTGTTTGAGGGTTAAAGATGTTATTGTGACCCCAAACACAACCATACACGTTCATGTAATGTCTAAAAAATGTCATGCACGTACAACACCTTTGGCACACCTTGGGTCTTTGCAGATGCCTTCTGTTTGCTTCACCAAGTCGGTGACCCTCAAACTCATCACATACTCATGCATGTAACGTCCAAAATATGTCACTGATGCACAACATCTTGGGGACACCTTAACACTTGCTTCACACTTTGCGTACAGGTTGAAAATAGATATTGAAATAAGTGAGATTTACCATACTTGGAAAAACTCCTTGATGAAGTCTGATATTGTCAGATGAAACGTGTAGGAGATTAAATCAAGTATGCTCACTAATTTATCATTCAAAAAAAGGTTTTGATTAAGGAAAAAAAAAAAAAAGAAGCAAAATAAAACTGTCATCTTGCTCCTAAGCCGGGCGAAGTGAAGGGCTGCTATGCAACAGTGTGTCAAGTTTAGCCATCTGCACAAGCAATCACCAAACATACCGTGACCAGCATACAGGCATTGAATAACTTGTCATATGGGAATAGAGGCTTGAGAATGTGGCGTGCTTATGATATTGGAGGTGGAAAGTTTTACAATGCAGACTAGCTGGCATGGTTTGGAACACCCCAGGGCCTCATTAGGCTCGTCACAATGGAAACCTTCAGCAACCCAAATGTAGAAGCAGGTAGTTCTCTGTGTCCTGTGCAGATGTCTGAACCTGGGCCATCATGAGAACTACCCAATCCTACACAGACAGAAGAAGAAAGCTAGATATTTTCTTGTCAAGAGGAAGGGTGTATCAAGGTGTTTCAGTGGTTGGCTGACCTCCAAAAGCACCTTGACATCAGCAAACACTCGGTGAAGCTGACAAAAGAATCCACCTATGACACGATCAAGAGGAAATGTATGGAGGCTGTCCATTCTGTAGGTGTTGGCTACGTTCATGGTCAGACCTCACCCAAAGATCCAGATGAACAATCCCAGGTGGACCTCAAGTGGTTCCTTCAGAAAATGCGGAAAGTAGTTGCCTTCTATCAGAAAGCAAAGAATTATCTTGTAGAGGTGTTCTGGACAGGGGAGGAAACTGTTAAGAAGGCAACAGCATTAGATGTGGCTTCCCAAATGAAGAGTTTAAGAGATGACTGTGGCCAGAAAATGTTCTCCAAGACTGAGTGGTTGACAGAGCAGCAGATTGGTAGATACTTCAGCTGACTATCTGCGCAAACCAGAACTGGTTTACTGCAGAGGTCCCCCGCTGTAAGCATGACTGAGGACGAAGAGGCTGATGCGGATGATCTAGCCTTAGATGTCGAAACTGACCAAACAAGGTAGAAGATAAGGTGGGACCTTTAACTTTAGATTATTCATTTTGTCCTCTTTAAGTTGCCAGCTGCCAGGGGTAGATTTTTTATCAATTGCGCATTATAATTCACTGTTTAATTTGCGAGCAAAAGGAGCTCAGCTAATCATGAGAATTTACAGCTATCTTTCAGTTTACAGTTAACCCCATTCACACTTTCTAGAAATCTACATCTGATTCAATTTTCATAACTTTTTAGCATATGTGAAGTGGCAAAATCTAGTCGAAGACCACAGGCTAGGGCACAGCTACCACTAGGTTACTAAAAATACAGACCTTTGCCTCTTGTTTTTTGTTCAAATTGATTGTCATGCTTCCAGAAACAACTGGATTTTTTTAAAACTTTTTTCATCATTAACTAACTTGAATGGAAACTTGCACGGAGCCCACTGATCAAAATATTGTGGCCTCATTCTTGAAGTAAAGGCAATTTAAGATTGAGGACGAGAGAGATGCATATTTTATTCAATAGTTACAGCATACCTTAAAAAAATGCAGATATTTTTTTGATCAATAAGCAAGCAAATAGCAAAGAGATCTGCAGAATTTTTCAAAAGTTGTTCCTTAGCAGACAGGGCGAACAACGTGCTTGAATAATTCATATCCCTATGAAACATTTGTAAGTCACTCCACAGATATTTAGTTTGGCCAAGTTCTCCAAGGAAATGTTCTATAGTAGTAAGTGACAACGATAACACCATTCTAGTTTTATTTTCTGGAATAATAGTGCAGTTTATTAACTTAACATAGCTATTGAAGTTTCCTTTCAAGCAAGAAGGCAGAGCTCCTTGTCTGTACTGCAAACAGAAACTTGTATGTCAACAAGTATGCGGCGTGTGACTTTAAAATCTCCTCTCCTGTTACAATCTCTTGATTGTAAACTATGGTAATAAACAATCAAATTAAAGACTGATAAATGTTTATTGCTGTAAGAAAGCCATATTTGCCTATTTTTTTGCAAATCTTTTAAATAAACGACAGAAGGGAGAAACTGTACGATTCTCTCATCAATATTTCACCTATATGCCTCTCTTTAAACGTGAAATTTCCAATTTCTACCAAGAATCTGGAAAGTTGCCTACTTTCTTAGCTTCCTTGAATAATTATCTTGTTTAACAAGCTATAAAATGATGGTATACTTGCGTAAATAACTGCCTACAGCTAGAATTGCATGACAGGTTTAGTTGAGAGAAGCTTTCACAGTCTTAGATTTCAAAGGCATTCCAGACAAAAATATGGCAGTGCCCAAAGATGTTTTGAATGATTTTCAGAGATGAAATAATGGACTAGAAAGGGGCATTTAAATTAGTGTTGTAGCTTTCTGGCAAGGGGGAGATATTTGACCTCAAAGTTACCAAATATTTGGGTGAATCGAAAAGTGTAAAAACACACTAATTTATTCACCTCTTTTGATTGACAAGCTGTCAATCAAATTGATTGAAACTTGTATCTTATGTTCATTAAGGACGTACCAATATGTATGCAAACCATTACAGTAATTTGTGCAATTCAGTTGCAGTAAGAGCTTCTTACATTTTACCAATTTTGAGGCCATTTTTAGTGAAAACCTAAAAAAAAGCGGGGGGCTGGTCTATCTCCCCCTGGAAATAACCAAAGCAGAAACCAGTTTGTCATTTTGAGTTTTGGAGTAGATCCTTTGAACTGGCAAAGTTTCATTGAAATTGGTGAGATCGCATGTATCATGACTGCCTGGTGCTCTTGTGGACATGTTCTTAATATCCACCAAAACTTGATGGATGTGTCAATCAAAACTATCACTAATAATCCACTGACAGATGCCCTAAGTACACAAGATCCTTAATGTTTCTGGATTCAAAATATTCATCAATTAATTTGTTTTGAATGAGGTTGTCTAATATCTTACAATCAAATTATCAAGTTTTTCCCAGATAAATAACAATGTGTATCATTTATTTAGCCTGCAGGGAAATGTAAGAGAGGAGAATAGAGAAACAGAAGTGAATCTTAATTGTTCTTTCACATATTCCTTGAGGCTCCTTCTCTCACCACAACCGGGGCCTGTCTTTCTACTGTCCCATCATTTATAGATGAACCATTGACAAATTACAAGTCAGAGAACTTCCTTGTTGTCCAAGTTTGTGTACCTGTGCAAGTGTACTAGAGAGCCATGGAAATTGGAGCTCATGATGGCAGATCAGAACATTCTGATACTAGTGATGTGATCAAAAGTTTGAGCCAAAATTTTTCACCTGAAGCATTGCAAAGTGCTTTGAAACTTGCCATGGCTATGAAGAATGCTCCTCAAGAGGAATATGACTCTCTAATGAGGTTGATATCCCAGCCAAATGAAGCACCAGATTCTGAGGAGAAACCATCTGTAGAGGCTGCAGATGGTTGTGAGAATGATAATAGCCTTGAGAAATTGCAACATTTACCTGAATTATCTGATCAAGTTGAAAAAAATAACATTGAGAGAGACCATGTTGTATCCAATGGACTGGGAGAGGGTAAAGATAGCCATATAGCAGATGAAAATGCAGCTAGTGGTAATAATTCCTATGAAATAGAAGGTGGAAGTGTCTTCACTTCAAAGGATGATGACAGGTTTTCTGAAGTGTCTGATGAAGAGGACAAGATAAAAGATCAGTTTAGATCTGAAGCTGATGGCAACATTGATGATTGTGTCACAACTGTTGCTGTTGATGATGTTAATGCTGCAGTGGATGGAAAGGAGGATAGCAAAAATGACTTTGTTACTGATGAAAAGTCAGCGCATCAACTCGATGATACCACAAGTGACAATTCTGTTTGTTCTGTTGACATAAGCAATGTCACTCCAATTGGAGAGAAGAAGTTGTCTGAATTTCCATACAAAGATGAAAGTTTGGCAAATACATTAAGTACTACAGGTGTAAATTCTGTGAGTTCCTTCCCAGAATATGCTAATTCAAGTGAAGATGAAAAATTACCCGAGTTATTGCAAGGCAAAGCTGAGGACTGTTTTTCTGAGATTGAAGATGTAGATGGGAAAGAGGCTGTGAGAGTTGTTTCTGTAGAAAGTGAGACCAACAAAGCCTCTGTTGAAGAGGGAACACCCTCTATGTATCATGTGTCTTCTGTGCCCCAGTCACTGGCAACAGATGTTTTGGAGAGTGATGAATCCAAAGTAGATGATGCCGATTCATCATCATCAGATGAAGATGAGATGGCATCATCTTCGCATTCTGTGGTGACATCGAGTGAAAGTGATCTGTCAGAGGCTGTTACACCAAGTGAGTCATTTGCTGAGCAATCAGAAAAGTTGAAAGGCAATGTAAGACAATTGGCTGAAGGGACCCAACTTTCCTTGCTAATGACTGGATCTAAGGATGACGATGTTGCTGTCATAGATGATGAAATGGTACCTGAAGATGTCTGCAAAGAACATTCGTATGTCACTGCCCCAGTTTTAGAGAGACTGTCATCGTTGTCTTCAACAGGCACACAGACATCACTTGAAAACCTGAGTTTAGTAAAAGATCAAGTACTTTCCACCCATGGAAATCTTGACAGCATCCTTGGCGGAAAAGAGTGTCATGCCTCAAAACTTCCTTTCTACTACCAACCTCAGATTGTCGTGCATGAAGAGAAACCTGTTTTAGTGCTTCAACCTCTGCCATCAGCAGCCTCTTTATCAAATGGTAATGCCGGTGTTCCAGGGCTAGAAAAAGGTGCATTTAATGCTTCTCTTCCAATCATTTTACCTTTGGCCTCACCAAGTATTGATGAGAAAACAAAAGAAGCACTTTTTCAGAGAATGAACCAGACTGGTACATTTCTTGCCGACCAAGGAGATGTTGAAGAAGCTGGTACCAAAGAGAAAAATCACCTCAGTGGTGTGTTATCAACAGAAATTTCCAGTGTTTCACAACTAAATGGGGAACATTCAAACAAGATTCCAGCGGCAGAAAAATATGGAGAACACAAAGATGGTGGAAAAACTGAAGGATTACCAGAATGGGTAGCTTCATCTGAACTTGACAAGGCTTTCACTGCTGCAGCAGAGGAGATGCCTCCAACCACAGAACAAGAAAAACCTGCCATACTCGCATCTCCAAGGGTCAGCTTCCCAAGCACAAATCCTTTTGCTAAAGACTTGGTTGTTCAGCAATCTGGACATCATGATGTTGAAGCAGAAAGCCCACTAAACCCTAGTAGGGGAGAAGCACCACTATATTCTTTATTTGGTCCTCCAAGTTCACCAACTGTACTTCAGGGTGCGAGACCAAAGGAATTCAGGGCTTACCAGGATCCTGGGATTGGTGGCAGTGGAACAAACCCATTCACTCCAGATCCTCCAAAGAGTACCAGACAAAGAAGAAGGCATGAGCAAAAGTTGCCCAGTTCCACTGAAGTGGTGGTTGCAGCAGAAGTGCATAGTTCTGTTGGCCACCTGGGAGGGATAAATGGATCTCCTAGACGTAGACTGTCAAGTGAGTCCATGGTTACACTGATTGAGACATCTTATCCTGATACATCTGCTGGCTGTGCTGAACCACTGGGTATCAATGAAACAACAAATGCAACCAAAAATCCTCATCCACAACAGGAGAGAAATGAGAACGGCCATGGGATGCCGAAACCACAAAAAACACTGCAGAAAAGTGGAGAAATCCATTTAGATACTAAGAAGCCTGAGGCAAAAGTGGTAAGCTGAATAATATAATTTTATTGTCAGAAGCAGCCCAAGCATTTTCCTCAAGTTGATGGTGTTAAGACTGTATCAGCATTTTGATTTATTTTTGTTTAGAGCTCGCAGGTCAAGCTTTATCCTTCGAGTAATCTTTTTTTTTTTCATTGAAACTATTATTTGAATATTTAGTATCTTTCCATTGTTGCTAGTATCAAACTTGCAAATTTGCATTTCATACAAGCAATGACTTTGCTTCAGAAGTTTGAGAGATTTCTCTATCTGGTGAATTTCCCAAAAGCAGCATTCTGATGAACCCTTCAAGTCCCATAATCCAACGAGTATTTTCCCTTCTGGCTGCTATACATGTCCCTGTAAACTAGACAGGGGGATTTGGTGTCATATCAAGAGGATAGTCTTCAGTTGATAAGCTTGTTTGTTCTCATTACCTGTTAGAAAGATAAGATATTGAAATGTACAGGAGAAGTTACATGTCAATCATTTGTGGGGCTAAATATTGAGTTCAAATTTGTGGTCCATTAACTTCATGTTTGGCTGTTTGAGCACCAACTGTCTTGTTCTATAGGTAGACTGGTGTCAGAAAATTACTCCAAGCATTTGATTGTATGAAGATATGAAGAAAAGATTGTATTTTTTTCTTTCAGCCTGGGAGTGTGGCCCCTCACTGGGTACCTGACTTTGCTTGCCTCAATTGTACTGGCTGTAAAGTAAAGTTTACACTTTTTATCAGGAAACATCATTGTTGAGGTTGTGGAAAGGTAATCGATTGTTAAATGCTGTGAGGTATAGTTGAAAGAAAGATTAAGAAAGATTATCCTGTGGCTAGTTTCTCTGGCTATGGGTGCTATCTCTTCTCAAAGCTTTTTGTTATCTATTAACCATGTGACTCCTAAGACTGACTACTCCATACAGGATCAACCTCCCCCCCCCCTCCTCAATCACCTAATAAGGTCACAAGAACAAAGGAAGTAATGATCATCTACTAATTAAAGTGCATTTGACACGAAACTTTTTTCTCTTGTTTCTTGTAGTTGGATATCTATAGAAAACGTTTCAAAGCCTTAAAAGTGCTGGAAAAAATCTAAAAAGCATTCTTTTTGCTTTCAAAATACGTGCAATTTTCCTTCAAATTTGTCCCGGTCATCACGCGGCCAAAATCGCACGTGATGTCACATTGTGTACCCAGATTCTTCAAAGTTAATGGAACTTTCAGAAGAGTCAGACTCAAAGGAATCATTAGAATCACTGGACATCTTTGCCTTTCAATGCACTATCTATCTACTTCGAAGTACTGCAGAATCCTCTTAGCGACAACAGACCTTCGCGGCAAAGGTACACAATGTCACATCATGAATAACTTCGATGGCGATAAATGAGGTCTCAGTCTCTGGGACAAATTTGAAGGCAAATTGCGCGAATTCAAAAAGCAAAAAAATGCTTTTTACATTTTCCAGCACTTTTAAAGCTTCGAAACATTTCCTATAGATATTCAACTACAAGAAACAAGAGAAAAAAATTTCGTGTCATATGCACTTTAAAAGGAACTCTTGATTGTTAAGCAAATTCTCCTTATCAGTACTTTAGGAAATATTTAGAGAAAAGTATGGAGAATATGCACACTGGTGTTAGGATGTAAAGGGCATAAATAGCTTAAGGTGATTTTATTGATCCAGTAACCAAGAAATGAAATAGTCAAATTCTCTTCCAACAGGTGGAGCTTGTCACAATTTATGAATATAATTGTACAACAATGGCAATGGAATTTTTTTTGGCATGAAAAAGTATTCACATACCATATTGATTGTTTTTCCATAAACAGATATTTTGCAACACCTGCTGTTCACAGCTGGCCAGATTTCCCTACTTGGAGTTTAAAATTGGTAGAGTTTGTTACCTGTGTACAGCGGCGATAAAACAAGGTAATTTGCTGAATAAGTTAATTTGTTGGAATTCTGGTACAAATGCTCCAATAACCTTCTCACTTGTGAGGGTTTGTGTTCCATGGAGTGAGTTTATCTCATACCATTACCTTGTGGTATTTTTATGATATTTTAGTTTATTGAAAACTGAATCATTGGATAATGCAATTCAAGACTTTTTATTGGCTTAGCCATTATGGTATATGAGCCAATATACCATAATCTACAAATATGGTAAGCGTGCACGTCGGGTTAAAATTAAAAGGGAGCTAAAAAATTTAAGATTTGGTAAGATTTGTCTAATATCTTGGGGACGTTTTTAATAAAACAATTATTCCACTCGTGCTTGTTGGATATGAGATGATCATAGCCAACGAGGCGCCTCGTTGGCTATCTATCATCTCATATCTAACGCGCGCTCGTGGAATAATTGCTAATTATTATAGGCATTTGTACTCTTCACCATCTGTCAGTAATGGCGACCTTGTTGAACCATCCTCAAATACACAAGCTTATTGAGGTTTATTTTTTCATGTCATCTGCCCTCCAACCTTTTGTATTATTTTATTTTTTTTGTATTTTGTATTTTGTATTTTGTATTTCCTCCATTTCAACAAATTAGTGTCTAATGAATAATTACAAGGAAGATAAGAAGATGGAGAAGGGCATAATATAGCAGGCTAATTAGACACCCTTTACATTAAATTACATTTTTTCACACAGTAAAAAGAAGCAATACAAATCTAAGATACAAATATAAGAAAGGATAGGTATCACACCTTAAACAACAAATGTGTAAATAAAACATGGTCAGAGGGAAGACATTAATCAACATTGCAGAATATGTTACTCCTTTTAATCTGCAGAAATTCATCACTTGACATTTTTTTGAAAAGTGTGAAGACCATCTTGTTAAGTAGTTTGTTATTTATAAGAGGAATTTAAAAATGATTTTCAACAATTAAAATTGTCCTGATCTTTTGACAATGACGCTGACTCTCTTTCCATTGTTAGTGAAAACCAGCCACAGTTATTCATGCAACTCCCAGGTTTTATTGCTTTTCAGTCGACAGGAATAGTCAGTCTCTCAGTTAGAGGGTTTGATCTTGATATAACACCAAATTATCCTCACCAAGTACAATCAAATGTGTAGTACCTAGAATAGAGAATTTCTGAACAGATCTTAGAGTTACAGGGTAATTATCCTTATCTCAATTTTTTCTTAGCAACTAAGCAGAAAAAGTTGCAGAAACAATTGGTGAGTAATGCACAAGAATCTAGGAGGATGCCAGAAAAGCCTCTTAACTCACCCGCTTCAATACAGAATCCAAAGGGGTTGCCTCAGAGAATTGCAGTGACCAACGCAAATGCACAAGGAAATTCTTCATCGGCTCCACATACTTCTGTCTTGCCTGGGGAAGTTGTGGCGGCAAATATGCAGCCACAAAGGAATTCACCATCACTTCCCCTTGCACAAGGTCTAAGAACATCCACGCCGTCCAGTGTACCTGTGCCTCAGGGAAGCGTGTCAAACCAGCCTCTTCAATATCAACCATTAACATGGCCACCAGTGTCGTCTGGGAGGGTTCAAAATACTGCGACACCATTACAACCTGTTGCACCCTCAAATAACCCTTCACAAGGATCCCAGAGTCTTACCAGACCTGCCCAACCAGCTAAACAGTACATGTGGGTGCCTGCTTCCCATGTCCAACAACCAGCTGTACCTGTTGTTTATATGAATCCTGTTGCACCTAATTTACCAGGGAGACCCATGTTGATGACTTATCCACCAGGGCAGCAGTTCATTCCACAGCAGGCTCCAGTTGTGCTGCTCCCTAACCAGCTGCCTTCTACTTCATCCTTGGTTCAGGCAACTGAAGCACCTAAAACCTCTAGTGGCAGTTTGAAAGGCACAGTCCCAGTTTCAAACCGACCTCCTTCTGGGACAGTAACAACTTTTAGTGTCTTGCCACAACACGTGGGACAGGCTGCTGTCCTTGGCCATAACACTGGAAGTGTGAAAACGACGACAACAACAACAACAACATCAACGATAGCAACAACTGTAATTAATCAAGTTTCCAGCACTTCAAGTTCAGCTCCCTCCAGTCAAATACAACCTCCCTCGTTTCAGTCACTTCAGCAAACTATCCCAGAACCCAGTGAAGAGGCTCTCACTTCAAACCACAACCTTCCCTCTACTTCTGTACTTGATCAGACTCCATCCCATGCGGTTACCACCGCTTCACCATCTCAGAGGGAATCCCCTTCTGTGGCAAGCAGCTCCAGCGGGGATCACCAATCTCAAGAAAGTCTTACTGGAAGCCAACGTTCAAGGCAATCAGAAGGTAGTGTTCTGGTTTCTGATGAAACAGACCCAAACACCAAAGATACCCAGCTACCGTTAAGGAGAGCTGGAAGGACTATTACGTGGCGTCACAGAACCCAGGGAAAGAGCAAATTACGAGAGAAGAAGAAGTCTATAGCAAAAAATTTAAAAGGTTAGTGTTGCCATTAATGAGGAATGAAAAATTGTGACTAGATGTTTTTCATCGTCTTTGATTCTGATATTAAACATCTGTGATTCCATTGGTACTTAAAGTTAAAGGAGACTGGTTTCAGTTAATGACCAAAAGGCACTTGGAAATCGAAAGTTGTTGAACCCTCTTAATTTTTCGGTTATTTTCTTGACGTTGCAGAACTTCCCGATGGCATAACAGTTCAGGCCACAGCAGACCTCTTCGTTCACGTCAAGAAAATGAAATGTAAGTCTGTTTTGTACAGTTAGTGTAGTCTTTTTCCTAAGAGTCTGGTGTACTTTGAGGTTATTTTGGATGTTATTCACCAAACTCCGACTTTTTTTTGGTTACCTAAAGTATGTAGATTTTTTAACAATATCACTGGAGAGCAAGGAAACTCCTTCACCCCGAAATTCAACCATCACACAAAAAACACTGAAAAGTTACAATTCTGTGAAACGCGAGTTCTCAAAGTATAAATAGGAAACCCCCTTCCTTAGCATTCTTGCACTTCTTTCAATTAGAACCCCAGGTAATCACCTTCGTTTTTGACTCGTACTTTAAATAGAGAGGAAGAGAGCATATTTCAAATTCTCAAATGCTCCTGTTTAAAATTCGTTATTGCACCCGTGCTGTTAGGCTTATATTTTTGCCGCAGTGTTTGGTTGTAGTTAAACTGTTCTGTTTTTGGGTCCAGTAAAAGAGGGAAACAAAGACATTTCAGTGTGGTGCTATCTGAGTGAGGGTCTCGGCAAGTTCAATCATTTAGAGGTGGTGGTTTTGTTGGAAATACGGAAAAAGGAGGAAATCTTTCCCGAAGAAGTTTTGCGGGTCTATAGAGGCATTTTACATCTGGCTTCAAAAATGGGTCAGTATTACACAACAGGGATAAACCTACTAGCAAGAGCCATAGAGGAAAGCAAAGACAAATAAAGAAAAAGCCAAATAGGAATTTATTTGCATGTAAAGCTACCCTCTGGCTTTATGCCTGGTAGCTGAACGAATTTCACAGAATTTCCACTAAAAAATTCTTTCAAACCTCTTGAGAATATCAGATGTTGTTTTAAAAAAATTGACGCGATTTCAAAAATTAAAAAAATTAGAAAATAATATGCTTATGTCGTTTGCTTATGCTATGTACCAGTGCGAATTAGACTTTCCTCCTATTTTATTTTTGTTATTTTCTATGGCAACTATAATTAGGTGTATACTTACTAGTCAAGTATGCATTAGGAATGAGGAAAGCAGAAAAGCTGCTACAGACAGACCCGCACAGACAGTACTGCTAAACACTTTTTTCCGATCCATGAATAACGCTCGAAACGTCAACCGTTCGAAGTTTCAAATGAACTTTTATTAATAATCGAATGGCTAACTAAGTGTGTCATTTACCTATCGACGCAACGTAATAGTTTCCTTTCAAACTGATAACTTTGCTCATAAATCACAGAGGGTCACTGGAACTGCGATTTCCTTATCAAAAAGACTGTCGTTTCTTTTAAAAATTGTCAAATATCTTTTGGTTTGAATATGCAACGTCTTTTAAAACATCTCTCTGAGAAACACTGGATTACATTTAATCAGCTTGTCTTGCACCGTATACTGGAAGGCCACAAGTTTTCAAACTAAAAGAGAATAACTGCTTTTAAAAGCAGATCTACTCCATCCTGGCTGTAGCCTTCTGTTTTGAGTTCCCTAATTGTAGACAAACACTTGTTGGCTTCACATAGCTTTATAATTTGGATATATCAACAAAGTTGAAATGGTAAATTGGCCACCGTAACGATTACAAAAGCTGACGTTTCGAGCGTTAGCCCTTCGTCGGAACAAATGACGATGGGCTAACGCTCGAAACGTCAGCTTTTGTAATCGTTACGGTGGCCAATTTACCAATTCAACTTTGTTGATATATCCAAATTATTTCGTTACTCACACCGACGCAGCCCCAAACAGTTTCTTTCGAAACTATCAGCCTTTATTCACATAGCTTTGCCTTAATGAGCTTTGAAAACGTACACTTAGACTGTGGGGTGATACCAAGTAATGTTTTGTTTTTTGTTTGTCTCGGTAGATCATCGTTTTTACCATGGCAACTATTTATCGAGCAACAACCAGTTTCTTGATGGTCCTGATGATGCTGGCTTCATTCTTGTCTCAAGTGAACTTAAGGTGGGAATAAAGATAGATAAATAATGATACCAACCGCCGCCTTGTTTACCTGTTCCAGTCATTCAATAAGCAAAACTAAGCGAAATTGTTAACAGTGCGATAGTAGCGGAGGAGTGGAAACGAGGGACCCGACCCCAACCCTTCTCGTTCTTTAACTCTTCCACTACTACATATCGTGTTATGCACTATCGCGTTTCGTTATACTACCCATAGAGGTTTTGCATGGCAGGAACAATGAAAATGTTTTGCATAAGAAGAAAAAATTTTTTCCCATGGGAAAAATAATCTATTGTTCCTGCCACGCAACATGGCTGCTGTGCAAAACCTCTATACGCCCGAACCAGGCTTTTACCTGGTTAACTCAGGTTGAAGGGCGCCGGACTGCCGTGTGGGAGGTCGAGGGTTCAAGCTCCAGACGGGACGAAGACCAAGAGGCTTCAAAAAACTGAGGAGAATGTGCCGCTTTTGCTTTGACTTGCAAATGGTTAGACGTTCTAATCTTCTCGGATAAGGACGATAAAGGATTTCTCTGTACTGGTTAGCAGGCTTAGTTAAAGAAACCACGCACTTCTTGCAAAGAGTAGGACCCTTAAGTTCCCGGTGTTAGATTTGGCCTTGATTCCAAAATTGGGAGCACCTGCAAAATTTCGTTTCAAAGTTGTAAACCGCTCAGTGGGGTCTGGCGAAAAACTCCTCGAAGTGTTGTGACGCGCATCAGAGCCACTTCATAACAATGATAATAATATTGATAATGATATTGATGATAATAGTAATAATAATAATAATAATAATAGTGATAATAACAAGTAGGAGGTAAACGGTAGAGGAGAGGGCTGCCACCTCAGGACCACTTTGTAATAGATGTATATTTATATTAATACTTTTTCTTTACCTGTGCCGTTACAGCCCAAACCTCAGGGATTAAAAGGAACAAAGACACCTTTCTTGTACGGAATCCTGGTGAAAAGATCGGAACTTTCTGCTGCCATGTTCACACCAAGCAGGCTTCTTCTTCGACTGGGAAATCAAATGAACAGTAAGTTCAATAGAGTAATTCTACTTTACCTAGGCGAAGTACCACTTCTTAAGCTGCATTCGGTCGTTCGTTGATCGTTGGCTAATTCTGAAAATAAGTAAAGTTGAAACAGCTGCATAAAGGGGTGTTCCTCTCGTTAACCTTTTTAACTTCCTCGAGTAACCAAGGCAGAATTTCTCTGTACAATATCAATACAATATCAATACAATATCAATACAATATCAATACGATATCAATACAATATCAATACAATATCAATTCAATATCAATACAATATCCATACAATATCAATACAATATCAATACAATATCAATACAATATCGATACAATATCGATACAATATCAATACAATATCAAGCAGTCAGGGCTCGACACTAACTTTTCAACTCTCTAGCCAAGTGGCTAGTGACATCTTAGATGTTTTTAGATGTTACGACAATTTCAATCTGTTTACTAGCCAAACTGACTAGTTGAAATTAAAAACCACCAGCCAAAACTGAATTTCTACTAGTCTGTGGCTAGTGGGCTACCGTTGGTGTCGAGCCCCCAGCAGACAAGTGACATATCACAGATAAGTTAAGAATAAACTTTAACTCAAAAATTTTCTATTTCGTACTGACATATTTTATTCTCTATGTTTTATCTTTCGTATACATAGATTTTGATTCTTGTAAACTTTTGCTATTATTAGAAAAGAGTGCCACTAGCAGGGCGCGACACTAACTTTTCAACTCACTAGCCAAGTGGCTAGTGATGTCTTAGATTTTACTACAATTTCAGTTTGTTTACTAGCCAAACTGGCGAGTGGAAATCGAAAACCACCAGCCAAAACTGAACTACTACTAGTCTGTGGCTAATGGGCTACCGTTAGTGTCGAACCCTGTCACTAGTTTATCAGATATATCCGTCATGTGTCACCCTCTTGAAATAAAAGGGAGTTTAAGCAAATCACTACGGCTGGCGCTGCTACGGCTGGCGCTGCTACGGCTGTCGTGGTTGAGAGGCTTGGGGAGAGTACGTCGCCGTAGCCCGCCAAAATTTAACTTAAAGTAACGCGAACTACAAACCTAGTACGGCTGAGAAGTTTAAAACCAATAAGCGTCTTTGCGGTAGTTTTTGCACGTCTAAAAACTCTAAATGACTTCGTGCACAGTGTATGAGTGAATTAAAATATTTAAGCTTATGTGTTGTAAAATTGCCAGTTTGGAACTTAGAAACACCAAAGCAAAGTTTCTACACGGTCCTTCATAACCCTCGTCATTCCTCGGATTCAGCTATTTGAATTTCGAGTAGTCTTTGAGGTTTGAAAAGGAAAAGTTAGACTTTCTACTTACGCATTTCTCCTGCCGTTCGCTGCGTTCCCCATGGACACACTGCTTCGATCCTTCAACAAATCCGGCTGCAAAAATAAAGTCAATATATCAATAAAGTTGAAATGGTAAATTGGCCACCGTTACGATTATAAAAGCTGACGTTTCGAGCGTTAGCCCTTCGTCGGAGCGAATGTAAAAATAAAGGCAGATTCACTCGGTAAGGAACAGCAAGCTCGATAAATATTCACCATAAGCTATTTTTAAAGATGTTAAGTGTATTTCAATAGTTAAAATTGCTCAGGAGAATGTCTAAAGCGAAGAAAGAAGCGAGATAAGTTCACGTACCACAGACTACGCCGAAACCTTCCCACCCGCGTAGAAGGATTTCCCGCTACGGCTGGATGGAAACCCCTGACATGCGCAATGACTCGTTTCTGGACAATTTTACTTCCGGTAACCGTAGCAGCGCCAGCCGTAGTGATTTGCTTAAACTCCCTACAGTTAACTACTACTACTACTACTACCACTACCACTACCACTACCACTACCACTACCACTACCACTACCACTACCACTACCGCTACCGCTACCGCTGCCGCTGCCGCTGCCGCTGCTGCTACTGCTACTCCCGCTGCTACTCCTACTGCTACTACTGCTACTCCTACTACTGCCGCTACCGCTACAACAACTACAACTACAACAACAACACGGGAATTGTTAGTTGATCCAATGCCAAGTTCTCCGAATTAACATCATATGTGTATGGCAGACAGTAAGGAGAATTTGTAATCAGATATTGGGAGTGAAAGAGTTAATTTACTCTAGGCACGTGGTACAGGGCTTGGATTATCGCTAGTGAAAAAAAACAAAAAAAACATCCTCAAGTGATCTTTAGTCTGTGAAGCGCCCGTTTCAGTAGATGCACCTTAGATATCGAGTTTTGTACAAGTCTACCTTGGTTATAACAAAGATGAGGTATAGCAAATGAATTCTTATGCTGCAGTCGGTTAGCCACTGGTCGTTGGTCGGTAATGCTGGAAAATATTTAAAAATGGAACAATTGCGAAAAGAGTGTTACTCACGTTAATCTATGTTAGGATAGTGCGTACAGGGTCTGTGAATCGTTCGTTTCAGTACAGATGCTGTACTTTAGACATCGAGGTTTGTACAAATCTACCTTAGTTGCAGCAAAGCCGAGGTTTATCAAGTATTTTTTTTTTAATTTATAGCATTTAAGCCAATTATGCTAAGTGTTAAAAATTAGTTTTATTAAAATTTAGATAGTAAATAAGTCAAAAGGATGTTAATTTATTTCTAAACATCTTCTAGATTTGACGTTGTTAGCTCTTGTGTTCGGATGTAGTACACAGTTTTGTAAGAATAATAAATATAATAATTGCTTTAGAACATCCTAGATAGTAGCTTTACCTTCTTAAACAGGTTTCCCGTTTCCGGTGTGGAATAATCGGGACCGAAGACCAATTCTTCTTGGTAACCAACATGAAGACAGATTCTTTCACACTGTGTCTGCCATGAACAAATACTTGGTACGTATGTCACATTTTCTGTTTGTTCTTTAAGGATATCGCCTTTTTATCAGTGGAGAGCGCGCCCACGATCACAGACGCAGCTTTCTCATTGATTAGCTTAAAATGCAATTCACCTTTTTTTCTCCTTCCTTCTCCTCTCTTCTTCTTTCTCCTCTCTTCTTCCTTCCCCTCTCTTCTTCCTTCCCCTCCCTTCCTCCTCTTCTCTTCTTCCTTCCCCTCTCTTCTTCCTTCTCCTCTCTTCTTCCTTCCCCTCTCTTCTTCCTTCTCCTCTCTTCTTCCTTCCCTTCTTTTCTTCCTTCCCCTCTCTTCTTCCTTCTCCTCTCTTCTTCCTTCTCCTCTCTTCTTCCTTCTCCTCTTTTTTTCCTTCCCTTCTCTTCTTCCTTCCCTTCTCTTCTTCCTTACCCTCTCTTCTTCCTTCTCCTCTCTTCTTCTCCTCTCTTCCTTCTCCTCTCTTCTTCCTTCTCCTCTCTTCTTCCTTCTCCTCTCTTCTTCCTTCCCTTCTCTTCTTCCTTTTCCTCTCTTCTTCCTTCTCCTCTCTTCCTTCTCCCCTCTTCTTCCTTCTCCTCTCTTCTTCCTTCTCCTCTCTTCTTCCTTTTCCTCTCTTCTTCCTTTTCCTCTCTTCTTCCTTCTCCCCTCTTCTTCCTTCTCCTCTCTTCTTCCTTCTCCCCTCTTCTTCCTTCTCCTCTCTTCTTCCTTCTCCTCTCTTCTTCCTCCTCCTCTCCGAAATGTCATCAGAGTCCATGTCAGAGGCGTTTGTTGTCTTATTCGTGAAGTGCATGGGACCACATTTAGCGGCTATCACAGACGAATTTTCGCGTTGTACATGTACGGGGGGTCGTGCGAACTGTTCTGCGGAAAGTCACAATGACCTTGTTCGTGGTCGTGGTCGTGGTCGTGTTCGATAGGAACAGGCCTCTCGTGTATCGTCTCAAAAACAGAGCGTTTATTTATGTCCAGCAACGCAAGCCGGCGAGAAGTCGGCCTGTTAGCGCTAGACCCCCGGCAAACCTCTCCCTGACTCGTTTCAAATCTTCCCACGGGAGAAGGAATGTGCGTTCTGCAGCGTTAATGACGAGGGCCTGGTTAGCAGGCTTTCCTGCATACTGCTAGTATTAGCAATGTAGAAACCACCATGTGAGTAAATAGAAGGGGAAAGATGGTGCTTTTCTCTTCAACTTTTTTTTTATTACGTATTTTCTTTTCAGAAAAACAGCGTGCCTGAGGCTATGATCCCTGGACTGTATGTGATACAAGAACGAAACAAAATTGTCTTGCAGATCCCAAAAAGTGAGCAGAGCGCGGTATGTTTATATTGCCTTAATTACACGTTGAATTGTTTAATTCTCCTAACACTTAAACACGAAGGCGCGCTATAAAAGGAGCCTTATGTCCCACTGGACCATTTGTCAATCAACCGTCGTGTGCTGTAGAACTCTTAGAGTCAAGTCAGCTTGAGCTCCAGCTACTCCAAAGCAGTGAACAGCGGACGCAATCCTCAAAATTGTTTTATGTCTTCATCACAATACAAGAATTTTTGAGATTTGTATTTCCTTTCTCCACTGGAAACTGTCTTTATTTGTGGTGGTAAATTTGAGATCGAAGTAGGTCGTTCGCACGTTACCTCATGCCACCATGCTGGTGGAAGTAAGCAATAGATATCTCATTAGCCCCTTTTGTTCGTCTACCAGCATTTGAATTTGACCCGCACACGTCAACGGTGAGTGGCAAATGAGCCTAGGTCTTCCCAGGGAAGACTTCCTTGTATAGCGCGCCTTCGTGTTTAAGACAAAAATGATAATCAAGAGATAAATCAAAGAAAGATTCGTTATCTCCACACAAAAATGAATTCTCAGAGCTGATTCGGGAAAGTTTTTGGGGCACTTAGCAGGAGAAGTATATTTTTTAATTGCAAGAGCTTACTACTTTCATAGAACACACAAAGGAGAAATTTATTGGAAAGGGAAGTGTGTATGTTTGGTTGAGGCAAACTCGACCTTCAACAAAGTGATTTTTTTTGGTATAATTTTTAAGAAATCAATGTAGGACTCAACGTAGGTTATCGATTTTATTTTCGTCGTCGTTCACTGCTTCGAAGGTTAACCCTTTGACTTCAAAGAGTGATCACTATCAAATTTCTCCGTACAATATCACCCCTGAATCACAGATCGAGGTTAGGAGAATAACGGAAATGATCACCAACTAAAGAAGCTCTTGACTGTCGAACAAATTCTCCTCTTCAGCAGCTTAGGAAATGTATAGAGAACAGTATGGAGAATATGCCTATTGATGTATAGAGAACAGTATGGGGAGTTTGCATTTTGATCTAAGGGTGGAAAGGGTTAAAGGAGCCACGTTGCGTTTGGTGCGTCATGAAAAAGTTTTAAGTTCGTCATGTGCAACCCGTTTCAATGTCCTCCTTCTTTACCACTGGTTTTATTGATACTACTTTTGCACGTTTTTACGTCATGAAAAGGTCGTTGCTTCTCGACCACGCTCAATACCAGTTGTAGTCTCCTTCGCAGCAATTCTCTGAAATGTCACGCAAAACTGCTCTTAAAAGGGAGAAGGTTGCTGCGTGACATCCCGAACTCGTCTGTCACGGAGATTAACTCATTGATTGCTATCTGAATTCTTTCAGGTTGTTGGACTCTTGGATCGTCTGATAAAGAAGGAAAACCAAACAGCCACTTTGCCTCTTTTGGCTGACATACCACCGTATGTGGATAGCTGTAAGGTTGTGGTGTGCGGTGAAAACGGGAAAAAGACCGTGAAATCGTTCGGAAACGCAAATGACGATTCAGGTGAATAGATAATAAACTTTAACCTACGTTAAACTGTTTCCGCGCAGTCCAATCTTAGCTGCTCTCGGTAATTAAGTGAACGATGGGCGAATCTTTATGTATATCACTTTCATCAATTTGTGTCTTACATAGCTTGGGATAAAAGAGGTCTCATCTTTCATATGAGTGCACGCTCGCACATCCACGCCTTTAGAGCGTGCGAGGGTTGTGCGGCTTATTCGAGAATTCACTCTTTCGATTCGGCGATCTTACGGAAAGAACAAACTAATTACAAGCAGGGAAAAGAGTTATTTTTTTACTCTTAATACTTGGTTTTGCCTATCAGTTGTAGGACTGGGTTTTGTATTGCTTCATCTTGGAGTTGATGCTTCGTCGCCTCTTAGCTTTGGAGGGGAGCTTTTGGACGGTAAGAGTCAGTACATAGGGAAACCTTTCTATTTAAAAAAATATGTATTTTACAAGGATTTCCAGCCCTGAAAAAAGACATAACTGCACATGTGTAAAATTATAATAATTTTTCTACGTGTGTTTGATATCGCCAATCAGCTGCTAACACGTCACTTTCCTTTCGCGCCATCTCTTTCAGATTCATTGATTAATAAAGTCAACTTACTGAATTACTGTTCAGTAAACGCTTAGGGTGTTTCTATAATAAACAAAATAATGCATGCAGTAAATGGTTTGAACCCGGGGGTAACATGTGAAGGTGTAGTCTGATCGTCCGGGTGAGTGTAGTCCTGAGAAGGACTGTTGTCGGTGGCAGTGACTGACGTTTCGACAACCTGTGCGGAAGTCATCATCAGAGTCAAGTGAGTGATTGTTGTCAGTAGAATGTTCTTATTCCAGTTCGTGTGAAATGATCGGTTGGTTTTGCCGTGATGTTATTGGCTGTATCATAAACATCACAAACGACCGAAAAAGAACAACCTAGCTTTACCGACAGACCGAAACAGACCAATCACGAACGACTTACGTCACTTGAGTCTTACAGCCAATAACATCACGGCAAAACCAACCGATCATTTCACACGAACTGGAATAAGAACATTCTACTGACAACAATCACTCACTTGACTCTGATGATGACTTCCGCACAGGTTGTCGAAACGTCAGTCACTGCCACCGACAACAGTCCTTCTCAGGACTACACTCACCCAGACGATCAGACTACACCTTCACAAAATAATGCATGATTGCTTTTAGATAAGGAATTTTTTCCCTTGTGTTCAACTCGATATTTCACTTGTTTGCTGAGCTCACTCTTGTGATATCGAGTTGAACACTCGAAGAGGAAGAGAAATTCCATATCTACGCACGCTCACGATGTTCTAATGTCTAACACTCACCCTTAGCCTAACCCTAAGAACTGTAATGGGATGATTAATAATGAAAACATGTTATTTACTCCTCTCCGATAGGTGGCCTCACGTTAGTGCGGTTGACTCCGGATCGAGTGGTCCGGGTTCGAGCCCTGACCGGGGACATTGTGTTGTGTTCTTGGGCAAGACACTTTACTCTCACAGTGCCTCTCTTTACCCAGGGGAATAAATGGGTACCGGCGAATTTGATGCTGGGGGTAACCCTGCGATGGACTGGCATTCCATCCAAGGGTGTAGTAGAAGTTGTCCTAGTAGCTTCATGCTACAGAAACCTTAGTTAGGTGCCGGCTCGATGGGTCACTTAGCTCATAAGCAGGATTTACCTTCACCTACTCCTCTTCGAGGATATGGTAGCTTTACTGACCTCCTTTTCAATCAAAATCACATATCAAGTGGTTGGGAGAACTACTTGATCTTTATTTCGTTGTTTGAACCTTGGGGTAAGATATAAAATTTTTCATCGGCAGATGGTGTCCTGATTTTCTTCTCGAAGTCCCACACGCTCAAGCTTAGACAGAGCTTGCAAGGGAAAACCAATTGTTATTTCTTTCTGGGCGATAAATTTGATATCGCACATTTCGAGCTGCGTTGGACGGCAGACGCTAATTATCACGTGTTGCCGTCATCGCTCCAAAACAGCGAACCTCATCCTGCGGAGACGACCACTGAGGATACGACACCGAAAGAACCTGGGGCTGGCTCCTTTCCAGGCCACGCAACCATCGGTGTTCACTACTCGGGATTTGGAAACGAGGTTGAAATTTTGAGGCAAGTGTTTGACGACTATGGCAAGATCCTTCAAGTCTTGGAAGGAGACATTCGTCGAGCATGCACGGAGCCACTCATGAAACACTCCAAAAAGATGAAGGCAGGTGACATTGAGGATTTGCAATTGCGTGTTGTGCTTAGGCCAAGTTACAAGGTAAGCAGAACCAAATGGAAATTTGCAGTGCTAGCAACATCTTTCCGCTAGCATGTCGGGTTCCGAGGCCATATCTTGTGTTCTTTTTCCCTTTTGTGTGAATGATTCTTGTAAACCTTCAACTTTCCAAAAAGGGCGGATCGAATATTTTTTTGAATTTTCTGCTCTTTAAGTTGTTATTATGATTATGATAAACCTTGGTTTCAATTGAACTGTCCCTACTGATTTACTGGCGTTCTTACATTCCCGTTTAGAAATGGTCTGTGGGTCCCAGTGATTTGCCAACAGCTCTGATCCGGTCTCTTCAAATGGTTCTTCACACGGTCAAGGTTCCCATGGTCTTTGAGGGAGAACTGGTGATGAGTTTCTATGTCAGTGTCCTTAAAGAGTAGTATTCCTTGGTGGTATACCCATGATGCACTGGAATCGTGAGGAAAACGTTTTTAACTTTTTCCAGCGTTTTTTGAAAAAGTAGATATTTAAGATAAATTTACGCGTATAGACGAAAGAGTAATGCTGGCACCCATGAGGTAACCGGCAGAGAGTTGTGTAGAAATTGTGTAGATATGTTTAGTTAAAAGCATAGTGTAACTATTGACTTCTTATGTCCGGTCTTATGTCAGGTCAGATTAAGCTTAAACTAAAAAATTCAAATGCAATTATTCAAAGATTTATGAAGTGTTATTGCGGCCCAGAAAATACCTAACGAATGTCTGGTTCTGCGTAAAAGTAGTGTGTGTGATATCTGGAGAATCGTCCGCAAATTTGAATGAAGTTGGTGCCTGCAATGTTAGAAAAAAATATATATATGGGTGATCTGGTTAAGTGCCCCGTTAAATGATTAGAAAACGAATAATTATCTGATATTTTGTAGCGGAGCAGCACCTGGCTGGTCATTTATGTTCACACTGCCTATTACTGCAGGGATTTTTTCACAGATAGAATTGTCCTCCCACCCCTACCCCGCGTTAACCCATCTTCGAAAAAAGAGACAATAGAAAAAAATAAAACCCTTAACAGGTGGGAATGGTAAGCTGTTGTTCTCAATTCCGGCTTCATAAAAGTTATGTGTAATTTTCATAAGTGTAAAGCTTGTTTATCTGTGTTGTTCGACAACTATAAAAGTTAAAAAAAAAAAACGTTCATATTTTATTCAACATTTCCAAGTTTATGACCCCTTCCATGGAAGAATGGATTGTGTCCTAAGTTATCATGATGAGAGTTCTTGAAGGAAGAGTGTTTGCTGTTGACCCTCTCACTCCTGTGATCCGATTGGTAACTGTTCCCTTTAGGTGCCATAGGTTTTTTTTTCTTTTCTTTTTTTTTTTTTTTTTTTTGCTTTATGCGTGTTGAATAGAATTCAATGTCATTATCTGCCTTTTGACTGAGTGGAAAGGCCGGACTGGAAATTATTTGGTTCTAAGTCATGATGGACTTTATGTCCGAGTGAGAGGCAAATGTTTTCTTTTACAGCTTTCCCACCCAGTCGGGCAGCGCTCAGGGGCGAGATGAAGCGATTCCTGTGTACTGATTGGCTACCCGAGCGGGCAAGATGGGCTCGGAATCGCTCGCTCTAATCCTGCGCAAAACAAGGAACGTGGAGCGGACTTATAAAGTTCGCAGCTTTTGGACAATGTCGGCGACGAAGTCGCAAATAGTGGTAAAAGACAGTCAACAAAAAAATAAATAAATAAATAATCAACCCTCTTGGGTTTATTTTGCTACAAACACTGTTTTTTTTCCCGGCTCTCGAAATCAACAAGTCATTCTTGATTCTTCATTTTTTTTTTTTTTTTTTATGAAGGCGAAATGTTTTTGCTGTGAAATAAATCCTTTATTGGCTAAGCTTGTCCGGTCAAGATGGCTGGATATTAGCCTCGTTCGTTTTTTGGCGTTTTTATGGATCTCGATTCGTCTCGGTTCACAAGAACGCAAAAAAAATAAAAGAACTCGGCCAGCATCCAGCCATCTTTACCTCACGCTTGGTAAATAACGCATATATCATGTGATCTCGAGTCCTTTCCTCTCTACGCTCTTGCATTTTGTATTTTGCAGGGACCGTGAACAGCCCAAACAGGTTTTTCTGGCCCTGCTTGTGCCATTGCGTAGGGGGCTCTTATATAAATTAAGATTTCATCCTTTAACTATCGTGTTTGTTTTCTCTCACTGCTTTTTGTGGTAGATTTTGTATTAGTGTTGTGAGAGAACTTACAAGCTAATCGCTTCTAAGGATCGAAGAGAACTGAATACGCAATGATATACATGATAATGAAGACCTGCTCTAGCGAACGGCAAGATTCTGATCTCACCAACTTGCTATCATGGAATAATCCTCTCTGGTCTGTAATGGTCTGCGAAGCTATAAATGCAAATTCTTGTTGCCGTCAGTTCCTTGGCCATTCCACGACCAACTTTGAGTGGGGTGTTAGGAGCTGGGGATTGACGTCAACTCTGGACAAATGTCCAGGCTTTTGATGACGTGCTAACCAAATGGTAAAGGAAGGGTTCTCTTCCCTATTTCCTGCTTATCTTGTTCAGTCTTTTTATATCCCATAGTTTATAATCGTCAAATCCGTCGTTGCAGTATTTTTCCATATCTTAACACTTCTAAATCCTTATGTATCTATTGAAACAACTTCCTTGCGGTCATCACCCCCACCCC